CCTTCTTGATGTCTAACAACATCATCAATTTCATGATGTTCTTCATCACCAAAAGTAGTATCACCTTCATCACGGTCTTCATCGTTAACAACAGCCTCTATTGAAATTGAATACGGTAGGATGCCTTCGGGCCATGTTGGTTGTGGCACACCTGAGGATGTCTTTAATGATGAAAATAAAGTGTAAGCAATAGTCATAAAAATGTTACTTGAATCTGAAAAACAAATAATGGCTTACCCCAATCATTGCTTCTCCCGTGACTGGATTACAAGAGACCCCTACATATGATGGTATCCTCCCACCTCTATTACCTTTTCCACCTCTATTGCCTCTTCCACCTCTATTGGCTCTTCTTGTTGTAGTCGGTTTTGTAATGTTGAGTCTTGTTCTACCTTTTGGCTTAACAAGTTTAGGTGGTGGGTTCTTCTTTTCATTCTTACAAGTCCTAGCATTTTGTCCCGTTTCCATGCAATTGCTACATGTCATTGCCTTCCCAGATTGAGTCACCCTTGTACTTTGGCTCTCAGATTTTGATCTTTTTCTTTTGATGGATGGTCTACCAGGCATTCTTCTTTCCTTGTGTGGGTTCGGTTTGGTGTAAGGTGTTGGAGTCCAGATGTTGCTCCCATTCAATGGTCTTATAGTATTCTCATAGGCCATTTTGAAGAGATTCTTAGTAAACCATTTACTAACATAATCCTCTGGATCCTTATTGATAAAGTGTATGGCAGCAATGGAATGCACACAAAGAATGCCTGATAAGTCCCACAATATACAACTACATTTTTTAGCATCTAAGTCTACCACCCTTGCTTCAAAACCATTTCGTGTTTCAAATACATTCCTACCACTAGGAATAACATACCAATATCTACATATGAAAAAGAATATATTAGCATACAAGATCATATTACCATCATAGACAAGCATACATAATAAAATTACCATCATAGATAAACATACCTGTGATTTTCTCCCTATTTTTTAAGTTTTTTCTTATGGCCGGACAAACAACTGATTCCCATTCTTGTGCTTTGCTTAGCATTCAGTAATTTCTCTCCATAACAAATATCCTTATCTCCTCTAACATTGTGATTATGGGTTTTCTTCTTGCATCAACAATTATTGAATTAAATGACTTGCAAATCCCATTTTCTACAGCTTCACAAGCTCTACCGGGTTGGAAAAATGCCCTACACCATGTATTAGGGTCCCTTTCAATCAAGTGATTATATGCATCAATCTTTTGCATCCTAAACTTTTCCATGTGTGACATGAAATCTGCCTCAAAAGTGGATGTAGCTGCTGCCCAAAAAATGTTTCTATACCCAACACCATTAAATCTTTTATGAAAATTAGCATATATGTGTCTTGCACCTTGTCTATGCTCTGCATATGGTGCCAACTCTTTTACAGCTTCAACAATGCCCTATTGCATAAAATTGCAATTAAATCATAGTTAGAATGAGATGTATGAGGTAAGTTTGGTGCTAACACCTCACAAAGAACATAATTAGATGATGTGGGGTTTCAAAATACAAAGTACATTGCCTAAATGGAAATCGGGTAGGTAACTAGAGTGCCTAAATGGGAAAAATCTACCCAAAACTTGAATGGATAGTCTAAATGGTTATATAAAGGTTGAAACACCTTTGAATAAGTTAATATGAAGTGTTAGAACTGATGGAAGTCAAAAAAGTCGCGAAGATTGCATTTTATGCAAGTTTTACAAAGTTCATACCTTGTGTTCATCAAACACGATGGTAAGCCCTGCTCCTTCGATAACACCAATATCTTCTATTACTAGTTCAATGAACCACTTCCAATTCTCTTTGTTCTCCACATCTACTACGGCCCAAGCTACATAAGCATTCAACATTGTAAGTGGTTAAAAAAAATAATAACACTTGATATTATATAACAAGCATAGTTTGGCCCTTGCTAACTTTGACCATAAACTTTTTCAAAATATCATCTTGCATGTCTTTGATTTTTATGAACGGTCTTTCAATGAGTTCTCTAACATAATGCTTTGCAATCCAAATTGGTGTCACTAGGAATCCAAAACTATAGTCTTTACTACATATGTGCTTACAATTAATGCTTTTAATTTGAAACGACTTTTCTTCTTGCATCCAAGTTGCCCATAATCTAAAAGGACATGTGTGATCTTTTTTACCTTTTCCACATGCAACAACTAGTCTTTCTGAATCATTTTTCATGTATTGTAGTTGGTAGCCATTTGCAATCGCGTAGTTAGTCAAACACTATTTTAATTGACTACGATTCTCATACCTCTCACCAAGTCTGGCTTCATCAGCTTCCAAGGAATATTAGGATCATGTATCGGGTACTGAACACCTTTTTGTATAACATGATCTCCAACATTATCATCATCTTCATCCACATTAAACTCAACATTGTCAATCGTGTTTACGAGACAAAGCTTATTTAGAAATTGATCCTCAACTGTTTTATTTAAGTTGATTATATCATCCTCATCTTCAAGGTCTAGAGATAAAGAATCTGACATATGTTCACTTGAATTGTCGTCTATTTCAAAGCTAGGATCATCACTATAATCACCATCGCAATCAGATATCATTCTATAACAAAAATAACAATTTCATCACGATTCACCGATGAAAACATAATGGTAGACTATATGTACAAATAAAGACTAAAAACCACTGAATGTTTTTTAAATCATACAGGGACTGCTGATTGTGAACGTGAAGTTGTATCCATATATCTAAGTCTTAAAGTTTGCTTCTCTTTTGCCAATCTTTAGATCCAAGGATGTCCCTATCCCCTAGGATTATATATTTAAGTCACAAAATCAACCAAAATATCCCTTGAAACTAGCTAAATTGAGAGGAGTATGACTATACAATTTTATGTCTTTCAAACCTTCTATAACAATTAAGAACTATATTAAACTTTAAACAAGTCCCTACAAAGTAAAAATTTACCGGTGATAATCAAGAAATATGATATATATAAAATTGGTCTTTGTGAGCTACTTGGTTCATGTTACTGTGAACTAATTTGGAAATGGAGGGTGCATACTTTTTATTTGCATGTTTGCTCCTTATTTTTTTTTTGTCTTTCGAAATGGCATGAGTATGATAAGTCATGTGAGTAATAATGATAATTTCTACAACTCAAAATTGTTTGCTGCTGTTGATTGTTCTGTGCATGTACTTGGTTTAAGATGGGTCTTACACTTTAATGGAAATACTATCCAAACAATATTTATATGAAGCAAATTTAACTAACTGCCATCAAATGAAGTAGCCAAATGGTGATGAAGATAAAAGAGAGTGAGATAAGATGTGATAATAGGGACCATGGTCTATCAGTCAAGTCCGACAAATATACTATTAACTAATAAGAACAATTTTTTATACTCCTAACAAATCTATTATCCGTCTAAAATATCTGCAAGTTGTTTTAGGGGTCGTTTACCAAACGCTTACTTGGATTAAGTGAACACCAAGTTTCATTATATTCCCGGATGAATATGGTAAGTATCAAAAATTTTACCCGGTAAGAGCGAGACAAAGACCAAGAGTCTTACCTCGATAAGTGAGGGATAAGACTCTTACCACGGTAAGCGCTTATCAGGTAAATTGTTGCGTACGATATCGTTTCGATGAACTAAAATCTTACCCAATAAGTAAATGATAGTGTTAAATTTACCGATAAACACTTACCGGGTAAGTGTTTGGTAAACAACCCCTTAATGTGTTCGAGTGGCCAGTAGTCAGTAGGGCTGACTCCCTGTTAAAGTTTCTTTCAAGTATATCACAACCATCCTTAAATCTTCTATCACTATTCATGGAACACAAGAATTAGACACAATATGTATACGTGTTCCATTATCACACCATAGTTGCATGATATCACATTGATCGACATGATGCATAGTTTCCCATTGCACAACCAAGTTGGACCGTTTATATCTTCTAATGGCCATTGACCTGATACACATCTCAGGTTACTTTTTAGGAACGAGTCTCTATCTCCCCTCCATGACTTACCCTCTAAWTAGAATTMTGTAGTATTTCACTCAAGAATTTGGGTGGATAATATAATAGGTAAAGGGAATGCCATTATAYTTGGGGAAGGCTATAAATAGTGGGTATATAGTAATAGGCCTGTGCGATGAGAATGAAATACAAGTAGGAGAAGGAAAAACAACCCCAATAGGTAAAGGGAATGCCATTATGCTCGTGGGAGAACATTGTAAGTTTTATGAGTGTGATTCCATATGATAACTATTTTTATCTAGTCTGCACCTCTTTGGCTAATGTAATCTTTTGGCAGAACATACACTCCATTCAATCTCAGAACAGATAACAAGATGATTCCAGGAACAATATCACCATCCAATCTCAGAAATTTCTTACAACAAAATGAAATGTAATATTGGAGCAAACCTGATTAGACGAGTGATAGGGGTTGCGACAAGGTGGTATGGCGGCGACGGCAGTGGTGCGGCGGCAATGGGGGCGAGGGAGATGACGGTGTGTGAGGGAGACGATGGTGTGCGAGAGGGAGAAGGAGACGATGGTGTGCGAGAGGGAGAAGGAGATGGGAGGGAGCGGTGGTCACGGGGAGATGAGTAGTCAAAAAAATTTAGGTTTTTTAAGTTTTTTTTAATTTTTTTAATTTAAGGTTACCTTCTATTCAGGTTACATGTTACAATTTTAAGAAATGAGAATTTATTTAACATGTTTTGTTAAGTCCAATGACTTATTTAACTGATTCAAGAATGTCCAAGGATTTATTTGTTCCAAAAAATTGTCCAAGGACTTAATCGTTCCAAACAGTAAAGTCAATTGGGTTTTTTTGGACTTTTCCCTTTAAGAAAACAAGATCATCCAAAAAAAATTATGAAAGAATTTCATCAATAGAAGTCAACAAGATTAAACAATGAAATGAAATACGAACGTTCACTAACAAATGAAACCAAAATAATTCGAATAACAAAATCGTTATTTCGTACCGTCGCTTTTTGACAGACAATTGCGAGAATCATGGCAAGCCATTTTCTCACAAGTTCTGCTTTTGGTTTTCTTTGCATTAACGGATGCCCTCTCCGACATACCAACATGACGCTTCCCGGTTCCACAACCTTTATTACGTATCCTGGTTGGGGGTAAGATATTAACTGATTCAAAAAAAATTAGGATTTTTTAAGTTTTTTTTTTAATTTAAGGTTACCTTCTATTCAGGTTACATGTTACAATTTTAAGGAATGATGATTTATTTAACATGTTTTGTAAAGTCCAATGACTTATTTAACAGATTCAAGAATGTCCAAGGATTTATTTGTTCCAAAAAATTGTCCAATGACTTAATCGTTCCAAACAGTAAAGTCCATTGGGTTTTTTTTGGACTTTTCCCTTTAAGAAAACAAGATCATCCAAAAAAAAAAATTATGAAACAATTTCATCAATAGAAGTCAACAAGATTAAACAATGAAATGAAATACGAACGTTCACTAACAAATGAAACCAAAATAATTCGAATAACAAAACCGTTATTTCGTACCGTCGCTTTTTGACGAACAATTGCGAGAATCATGCCAAGCCATTTTCTCACAAGTTCTACACAATCTTTTGGTTTTATTTGCATTAACGGATGCCCTCTCCGACATACCAACAATACGCTTCCCGGTTCCACAACCTTTATTACGTATCCTAGTTGGGGGTAAGATATCAACTGATTCAGGTTCAAAAACACACAAGAGCTCCTGAATATCATTTCTCTTCTGTTCAGTACTTGTCAATATAGGAACATCGATTGAAATTTCATCACCCCACTGCTCCATTTGGTCCACAAACTTTGCCAACGAATTCTTATCATTGCGTACATGCCCAATAATAAGATCAAACATTAATACAGCCTGGTTGATCATAACTTGCTTCTCAATATCCATTTCACCATACCTGGCACGAGCTGACAACAATTCAATGGGAACTAACTCTCTTCTCCAATGAGGAAAAATATATTTCTCGGGAATAGATTGCACTTCAGAATTTAACATTACCTTAAACGCGTGGCGACATAATATACCATTGCAAACAAAATGGTTGCAATTACAATCGAAAGACTCTTCCCTAGTATCATGAACCACATAGCGTATCATGAAATAACAGAAAAAAAGGATAGTAACAAATATTATGAACTCCGATTCTTATCAACTAATATTAGAATAAAAATTGAAAAAATGATCATGACCTTGTATGTATCTTTTACCTCAGCTTTCCTATTCTTATGCATAATATTGTAAATCTTCTTATCACCAACCTCTAGGACGTCGACAACCCCACATAACCATACTGCCTTGTTCATTTCTTTTTGTACATAAAAAATCATTTTCGTGTACACATTCGCCGCTTGCGCTTCAATTTTAGATGGTGATAACAATCTAGGTATCGTAGTTCTAATAGCAACCTCAAGGGAATAGTGTACTTTTCTTTGACTTTCAATTGCATCATCGAAAGTGTTAAGCAAATAAACAAGATCATTCCAATACTTCGTATAAACATTAAGAAATGCGTTAATAGTCTCAGACCTGGAAGTCGTTTTCATCAACCCAGACATATGATAGTCCTTGAAATTGGCCGGAATCCAAGATTCTCTTATTGTATACATTTCTTCAAACCATGAGTGACCCCGTAAGCCATACTCATCCATCATAACATTCCATTTTTCCTAAAAAAGATTTGGACCTATGTGGACATTCCACATGAGCTTGTTGAATTCTCTTTTGAATGGGGTGCTATGGGCTAAATAGTCACTAATCTACACGGTGAAACAAGCACACAATCAAACAATAAACAAACCCATGTATACATATGCTATAATTGGGAAAAAATTTCCAGATTAAACGTATCTTAAACAAACATATGTGTACATATATTAGAATTGAGGTAAAAAGATCAAATGGAACATTTCCTTTACTTTTTTGGTTATGTGCCACATACACAATCGATGGGTAGCATCTGGAAAAGCTATCGGAATTGCTTGTTTCATTGATGCACATTGATCGGTTATTACAAACTGCAGCTGCCTACCGTGCGCTTTCATAAACGCCTTCAATACCCATGTGAAATTAACGATAGATTCACTCCTAATCAAGGAAGCACCCACCATAACCGATTTTTTTTGTGATTATCAATTGCGACAAACAAAACAAAAATCATTGCATGTCTGTTACGAAGAATTAATCTTTGAATGGAAATTAATAAAACACTTGATAACAAGTAACATATCAATAGTAGAAAAAATGCTTACTTGTTTGTCTGTTGATCCCAAATCTTTCAATAACACTAATAATCGAGCTAAGAATAACCAAATTATAGCGTTTTAGTGAACAAAACAATGAACACTCAAGAACAATGTATGAACATTCAAGGAATAATCTTGAGCGCCAATAAATTCACCTTATTCAATATAAAAACGTAAAAGCAATGTTGATTACAATAGGCCTAATCAGCAATTTATACTAGAATGCTAATTAGAAGATAACTATCTTGTGAGACTATTTAGTTGATCTTCTACTAAAGGATAAAGTTTATCTAAACTATGGATAAGTTATAAATTAAGATAAACTTGAAATCCAGTTGTCGATTTGTCATCTCCAGCTGTCTTTTATGAGATGATGATTCAACCTTATCTTCATTTCTTCATCGTATGCTTCTGGTTGAATTGCTGAAGAAAACTCTAAGTGTGGTTGACCAGAGGACTAATGAAAATGCTCTTTCCATCGCATCTCTAGTTGTTCATCGATCATCTGGTTGTTCTTCAGACTTAGTCATTTCTGCCTTATCGTCTTCATCGGTCTTCTGGTTCTTCATCACTTATTGTTTTTTTCATTACTTTTATACTTATTCATTATGGGGTCTAACAATCTCCCCATAAGTAATGAAAGAACAAACATAAACTAATCTATGAACATAATCGAAGAATAGAAACTAATCTAAAGAAAAACATCAAATTCCAAATTTTCATTGGATGATGAATTCTTACAGTACTGGAAACAGAAATTTACAATAAGGCAAAAATTTGAAAACTCCATTCATGATCTACCTTGAGATATATCCCAGAAGCGCAGGAGCAGTCTTCGATAACTGAGGACTGTTGATATCTCATGAATGAGTTGATTCTCATCTTCTCTTGGCACATGAGATCTGCCTGGTCTCTCTCTGATGACCTTTTGAAACCACTCAAGTGTATCGGTTGAATACTTGAAGGCTTCAGTTAGTCTGAAGAATTTCTTGACCCCGAACTCATTCTTGAAGACAAGTCCAAGCTCGGGTTGAGTTAAGACAGAGGCAGACCTCTTCTCCTGCAGGCAAGGAAAGTCTTCATTCGGTGGGGTGCAGGAAAGTCTTTCGATACCCAAATGTAGAGAAATTTGAAAATCACACTTGGCTTTGTGCTTCACAAGGGTCTCCATCGTCTTCACTATCGCTCTGTTTGCCACCCCAAATCTAATTCATTGATCCTGTCATTGAGCTGTGAACGTGTAAAGTTTGATCAAGTCGTAGGGGTTGAAATTGATCAAGTCATTGTTGATGAAGACAATGACCTGACCGTGAGCTCTTACCACCGTGTACTCGATGTATCTTATTGCTCTGTTGTCGAAGGTCCTCATTTTTATATCCATTACCCTCCTTATCCCATCGTTTGAAAAGACAGCTTGTGGTGGTTGGGTAGTCTATCTAATAAATCGATGATGTAGGAGGTCTATGGATTCTGGTGAAAGAATTGGAGGATTGAGGGACAAGCTTTCATCACGATCGTGGTACATGTATTGATGGATATTCTCCATCATGATAGGTTCCCTTGGTGGTATCTCTGGACGTCTCCTTAGCGACTCCATGTTCTGTATTATTTCATCAACTAGGCTCTGCAGAGGATGCCTAGATGAAGAGGGAATGTCCGCTTGCATCGTGGTTGGTTCGGTTGGGGGGTGTGTTTGGGTAAAGGGTTGTGTATGGGTCGAGGGTAGTGTATCGATTGGGGGTTGTATATGGGTAGAGGGTTGTGTATGGGTTGGCAAGAGGATGGCTTCTTGGGTTGGCTCAGGTTCATCAGGTTGGGTGATGAAAGGTTGTGGATCGCTAGGGGTTGGTGATGGGGTTAATGGTAGGTCTCGTGTTGGTAATAGAGTAAAAGGTGGGTTGGTTTCTGTTGGTGGGGTGGTTGGATTTTCATCGGTTGAGGAACTCAACATGATGGGTTCTGGTGTGGTAGCAAGGGGAACGTGTACATTAAGTACATCTTCAGAGGGCTGAGCCTCTGGTTGTAATATTCAGGTTTGAGATATGAGTTAAGATTTTTGGATTATATACATATATACATATATATATATATATATAAGAATGTGTGTGTATGTATAATTGTTTTTGTTAAAAGTAAAAACAATTATGGGAAGAGGTAAGTCGGATGTGTGTGTGTGTGTGCGTGCCGCTATAATGGTGTCTCCTCTTACTATTTTATAGTAAGAGGGAAGGATGTAGAGGATTTTCACACTTGCTTCATTAGAAAAGTTTTCTTTGTTATATCATCCGGATTTGGTAGAAAAAGGAAGAAGAAGGGAATTCAAACTTTGTTTTTCAGTTTCAGTATTATAAGGTGAATGTTTTAATGCTTGAGTATTAAAGATTTGCATGCAATTCATTTTTATTTTGAATTGTCTTAATATGAACATCATATGTATCCTGCGGACTCCACTAAACCGGTCAAGTTATGACCGGATATCTACTAAATCGCTCAAGTGTTGAACGGATATGTTTTTAAACCGCTCAAGGGACAGCCGGATTCTCATTAAATCGCTCATGAGTTAACCGACTTAAAGCTAAACCGCTCAAGGCATGGTCGATGTAACCTTCTTGATATTCTAAGTGTTTGTCCGGACTTCATATCCGGACAAGGTTGATCGGACTTCAAATCTGGATAATGTGTTAGAATTTTTGGTGTAACCGCGAGAGATAGATGTAATGGCGTTGTAACCGCGAAAGAGATGAAATGGCGGTGTAACCACGTGAGAGAGATGTAATGGCGGTGTAATCGCGAGAGAAAGATGTAATGGTGGTGTAACCGCGAAAGAGAGATGTAATGGCGGTGTAACCGCGAGAGAGAGAGAGAGAGAGAGAGATGTAATGGCGGTGTAACCGCGAGAGAGATGAAATGGCAGTGTAGCCGCGAGAGAGATATGTAATGGCGGTGTAACCGCGAGAAAAATAAATAAGTATATGTATCTGAACAGGTTTGATTCTGAACTAATGGTTTGGAAAGTATGTTATTTGTTTGAGATTTATACACTCACTAGACCTTTTAGGTCAAACGCTCAGTTGTTGGACTAACCTGTTTTTGCAGGTCATCACACCTCGCAAGATAAAGGCAAATGAAAAGTTTAGAATGAATGACATTTAGTTGCTCATAAATGTATTCAAGAGAGTCTTTGTTTAGCACATGTTTTGTAAATGATATTACATTTTGTGTTATGAGTATATGTATGTGGATTATAGGTATAGAGAATATGTGGTTTGTTACAGTTGGTATCAGAGACTTAGTTTAAGAGATCTGGGTATTTGCAAGATACATAGACTTAAACTAGAGGTGCGAAAGTTATGATAATAGGTTTCACTGGGTCTATGAACATGAGAATATGTTATAGTTGAACCTATTATGAGAAAGATAGATTATATATGACTGATATAATCTGAGTTATGGATAGACATGAGGATAAATGTGTTATTATACTGTGATTAAGAGAATAATCATGTGTGTTTAAATGTAACAAAAAAAGTTATATACTGAGAAATGGCAGATAATCCCAATCAATCAGAAAGGACCTCTACTGGTTATGGAAGAGGTCAGAGAAGAAGAAATGTGACTCAAGGAGAGGATTCAGAAAATGTGATCACAATAGAAACGTGAAGTTGTAGCAGGGGTCGAGGAAGAGGTAGAGGTGCTAGACAAGAAACTCATGGGGAACAAGAATTGTCGGCCCAAGAAAGTTCAATGTCTGGCCGTGGTAGAGGAAGAGCAAGGGGTGGACATAATGTTTCTGACCGCGGATATATTACCCAGGAAATGTTGGCAACAGAGTTGGGAAAGTTCCAAGAAAGTATAGTAAATTTATTGGGGCGTACAGCCCAAAATAATCCAGAAGTGGTAAGAAATTCCGATTATCAGAAGGAAGCCAGAGCTAGTACACCGGTAACTGGTATATCTGTACCCCTTACTTCGTCCTCAGTACAAAAAGGAGGAGATATCAAAATGTTTCTTGCTTGTAAACCTCCTAAGTTTTCTGGTGAGCGTGATCCTGTTAAAGCTATGTGTTAGCTTAAAGAAATAGAACTGAGTCTGCAAATCAGTAAAAGTACAGAAGAGGACAAAATCATGTTTGTTGTATCTCATTTAAGATCAAGTGCTTTGTACTGGTGGGAAGTTCTGCCAAGTTCAGATCCGAATATTCTGAAAACCATGTTGTGGGAAGAATTTGTGGTTAAGTTTAAAATACAGTATTGTCCTGAAGCTGTAGTAAGAAAGTTGGAAGATGATTTCCTTTGTCTTGAACAAGGAAACATGTTAGTCAGCCAGTATACAGAAGTTTTCATGGAACAATCTAGGTTTGTTGAAGCCTATATTATATCTGAAAACAGTAAAGTGAGAAAGTATAT